CCGACTTTGCGTTTTAGTGTGGACGAAAAACAATTTGAAAACTGAGCTTTCGAAAACGATGACGTCACGATGATGATATGATTTCCTTGCATATACTGACGTCATAAGAGACCGTGGCTTGATCATCTAAACCACTTATCCCATTAGACTTAGTTTTATATTTACGTTTGGTATAAATCTACCAGCGCTCTATGACGATGCCGTTCTCTGATTGGTTACACTACGCACTATAGCTATCTATTCTGTTGTAGTTAGCGAGTAGCGTAGCGTTGTGCGGTTAACAAACTGGCGGCCGCTTCTTTGCGTTTTCCAAGAGTCTGTGAAGGGATTTAGATTAAGTTTCGAACGATTAGTAGATTTATACTAAAACAAGTAGATTATTCGCTCTCGATTTCTATGCGTGACAGATGCGCCCTCGTCAGCTATCACGCGATAGAAATTGAGAGAGGATAATCTAGTTGGAATGACATAATTTTTTCCAGGTATAATCTCGTAACTTCCTACTTCATATTGTTCTGGCAGTAAGACTACAAAAGGGCTTTTAAATTGTACCATAATTAAATTACGTCTACGTCTACCATGAATTACGATTGCGATGTAAAATTGGAAAAGTCTGGTGCACTTTTATGAATCATGACTAGGGTTAGATACATTATGCCAGTAAAATTTTGGGCGTAATGCTATAGCCGGAGCATCGAGCACAATGCCGGCTCAATGAGCATTTTTCAGCATAAAGAGAATGATAATAATAACAAAAAAATTAATATTTCTACAACTGTAATGAGAAATTTTCACTTCCACATGCTCTTGGTGAGGATTTAAAATATTCAAAGGCTTGGTTGCTACTCTCAAAACAAATTTTGAGTGCTTTTAAGCATTATTTGTTGTTTACTGCTTGTAAAGTTGTAATTGATGTAATAAAATGTTGTGTTTCAGACTTATGTAGGTTTTTTTTTGTCTGCAAGTCGAGCATAATGCTACTTCTCTAGCGTAATTTTAGGCATAATGCTGTTGTTTTGAGGTTGACGTTCAAAAGAGCATAATGCTCAAATTTTCGAGCATAATGTATCTAACCCTTCTCATGATGTCGTTTCTCGCAAACATCTCCAGAAACTACTTACGATCCCCCCTCCTTTAAGCAGTTTACTTGATATCTTCATGTTGGTGTCCTACAAGCACTTCGTGACGCGCGCCGCTAAGTTTTTTTAACACCGATTTGACCAAGTATTCGGTAAAAATATTCGTGATAACGTCCTTTGACTACCTTTTGAGGGCCATCCACGATGTAATTAACAAATGAATAAGTGATAAATTAGTTAACAAAAAGCCTTGTTATAGTTTTAACTCCTTCAGGAAATAAGCAAATGAGGCAATGAATTAAAAAAAGCTATACTACCAAGCTTATAGTGATAAAAATCAAGACCTTCACGATTTCAAGCGAAGTTAATACGAACGTCACCCTTGCAGTTCCCAGTTCAATAAAACAGCGTATTGCACACCATGGAAACCGTCAGGAAAATAACTCGTCTTGCTGATAATACCATTACGAAGAACGGAAAAATCCTTTTCGCGAGTTTAAGTTAAAAGAACGCACAGATGTATCACCTGGCAAATTTGTAACATACGGAATAAATAAGTTACGGCCAAAAACGTTTATGATCTAAAATTTGATACTTCGATTACGACTTTGGCATAGTTGTCGCTTTTCAGTGCCAAAATTGGCTGCGCAAATAAAGGCAAAGGCAAAAACAATGATATTTGAAGTAAGAAATTATAATGTTAAATCTCTATCGACAAATTCTGATTCAGTCAGTTTTCGCCACAGCTATATCTCAATTAATTAACACACTAAATAATTTTCTTAAAAGAGAATTCAATAAAATTATTCAGTACTTATGCAGTTAACGAGTAATCATTCGCCGTATAGATTTAATTTTTTCGCGCCAAATTTCTCACAGAGTTCGATAAGTGTCGCAGGCCTTTACAAGAAAACTTACCTCTGTTTGCAAAGAGGCAGGCCGAGATCAATCAAGGCGGAGAATTCCACTGCGAAAACGTAACACCGACAAACATAGTTTTGCGGAAAGTTGAAAAGAATTCACAATCCACTTCAAACTTGTGGCACTCTAAATAATTAATTGGGTGAAACATGATTTGTTTTCTGCTTGTTTTCAAATAGGTCACCTCGTTTGTGTTTAACGATTTCACGTTAATATTCGAGGCAGCTGGTAGCATCTCCCACAGTTAAATACAACGAGTTTCATAGTACGTGTGAATGGAAACGGAAATTGTTTCTGTTCAAAGTGACAGACATGACACCAATTTAGGCGATGAACTTGCAGTTTTAAACTGTACGATTTCTGCAAGCACGCGAGAGTTTCATTTGTACCTAATTCAACATCTCTTCGTTTTGAACATATTTTTTTTCTTACAAATACTGGTCGTATTTACGTCTATTATCCTAAAATGAACTCATGGACAAACTCTCTCTGGCCGGACGACGGAGGTTTGTAATAAAACGGTACAAATTTTATATGGTTTACGTTAGGTACAACTGGATCAAAGATGTTCCAATTATTTTCAAAACAACGAAAGCGTAGAATATCGATGAATTTGTCACGCTTTAAAGGGCATAGGAAGGGGCCTGACGCGAATAACTGCAGTGCACTAATTTTTTACCGTTGAGCCTTTTTTCGCGTGTTGTGGTGTTTTCGCGAGAAGGAAGATGTCGGCATCCCTCACGGTCAATAAAAACAATATTATTACTTGCTATTATTCGCAAATAACTTGCTATTATTAGCAAATAACTTGCGACAACGTAAAACAACAAAATCAGCGGATTTTTCACGAGATGTGGGCGCACCTGACGGGAAGGCTTTATTTTCTTTTAGCAAACCGAAATATCGAAGTGAATTATTCTCTGAGCCACATGAAAGAAGGAAGATATGGTGATGGCGAGATCATAGATGCACGGGTATGCTGGTGATTCGGTTAAAATGCGCAATAATCGATAGACTTCTTACGGGCTCATTGGACGAGAGAGATATGATCGATGAGAGTGTAGACACCACAATGAAAATTACGTAACCCGTTACTGTGAAACTGTAGGTGACTTCCAGAAAACTTAAGAAATCATTGCGACGACTCTACTATTACGCGGAAACCGAAGATTTATGAAACGTTAACTAGGACATTTGTGGCGAAATTTCCAACGAAATCATCTGCTTCAAGGAGCCTTAAATTACACGCGCGACCTCGCAGTGATTTCACGCTTCCTCTAATTATAATCAATCGGAAAAGATTCAACGTTATATTGTAATAACAAATTTTGACCGATCACTTTTTTCCATGGGTTACACTCTTTTGGACCATAGAAGTGACGTAAGATAAAATGTGGAAATTTTTCTAGTGAAACCACTCACTTCGTTCAAGGTTGAGGTTTGAACATTTTATGACGTCATTTCTATGGTATCGAAGTAACATATTAAACACGAAAGACCGTGTCATACCACATTTCCAAACACCGAGAAAAGAGGGTTGAAGATAGAGTATTTTTGACGAATTCTGGGCGTTTGGAGTGTGTGAAACACTGCCTTGAGTGTTTGATATATCTTCTAAATCGAAACTAAAACTAAGGAAAAAACGGAGAAAAAAATCGTAAAAATCTATGCTAATTAATTAAGTTTAGATATCCAAACACCGACACGGTCATGTTTCAAAATGCGGTCAACCCTCGGCAAGGAAAATACAGGTCTGGATGAGGTGCTACATGTCGAGCTGATTAATATTCCGGTAGGGGAAAGGCGTTATATGACAGATGCTAAACTCTAGAGAGACTCACAAGTTGTGCTTCAAATGCTAACCTGTAGCTTCCATTGTTTAAGAGATACGGGCATTGTTTGGATCATTTATGTATTGCTTGGTGAGCCAATAGCAAACGGTGTTTGGACAGCTACAGGCCTGCTCCGACATATGGTATCAACTTTACCCTTCAAAAGTGATTTTTCGGTGCTTAATCTCGGCAAAAGATGATTTAGAATTACTCCGAACGTTATGGCAACCATCAAATTCCATGTAGGTCTAAACAAAAATCAGCTTTTTTGAGATAATTCTGTACTTTTTTCCAGTTTTCGTCATCAAATAACAGAAATTTACGAATTTGTACAATTCATAAGCATTCTAGCTTGATTTTGTGTTAATTTCCTTTATTTGTTGACTTTTTTAAAGAAATAGTGAAATCCAAGATGGCGGATCCAAGATGGGGGTCAAAGGACATCATTTGACGTCATATGACGTCATTAGCAACAAAAATGGTATCATCTCGTAGAGCAAGCTCAGGGCTATCTAATCAATATAAATTTATTCCGCTCTGCTTTAACAGAACGAAAACCAAGAGGGGGGCTTCCACCCCCCCTCCCTTGTACCACGGTGGGGGTATGAGTTAGCTTGTACGTCCGAGGGGTAATAAGTAACTACATGACTTGGGTAAGCATTAACCTCACCGTACCAACAAAGCCGATAAAAACCGAGAGAAAATAGTCAAAGTGTTTCAGCGTACCGTAACTCAATGGCTAATCTTTTAAAACTAAATATCGATTACAAACTGATTTATTGACAGTTCGCAAGTAGACAGCCAGAGGATCATGCTACAACGCAACGGTTTGACACGAATGCTTACTAAGTAAATGACATTTTGATTTTACGACTGCTCGGATTCTAGAAGGGTGATAATCACTTTTCCATCGCCTTCTTTCACTCCCTCTTTCTTGACGGGGTTCCCGCCACTGTTGGCCTGGTTGACCTCTAATAATGCCTGGTTGTCTTCTAATAAGCTCACATTAAACCTGGCTAAGACCGAATTCTTAATATTAACCTCAAGGCAAAGGCGAGTTTATTTGTCATACAACCCTTCTCCTACCATTAATGATTTTCCCATTGAGCAGGTGTCTTCAACAAAATCTCTCGGTGTATATATACATTGATGAAAACTTAAGCTCAAATACCCACATTGAAAGTGTTTGTAAGAAAATTTCTTCAGCTTTAGGCTTAATTACGCGCATTAGAAATTTCGTACCATTCTACACTCTTTTGAACATCTTCAATGGTTTGGTAAAGCCCCAGTTTGACTACTGCAGCTTATTATGGGGATGCTGCAGTACAAGTCTCGCCGAAAAACTTCAGAGCTGCAAAATCGTGCGGCTGGTATATTGTTGTCCGCCCTAAGGAATCAGAGGCTTTTTATCATATCCATTATGATGTTCAAAGCTTTAAATGGACAGACACCTGATTATTTATCAAATGAATTCATCTTTTGTAATGCTACAACTAGTTAAAGATTAAGAAATAGCGAAATGAGGCTGGCTCTTCCTCAACCTCGCACCGATTATGTTCGTAAAATTTCTCTGTGCCGAGCTGTAAATCGTCTCGAAACCGCCCTGTCCACACGGCGGGTCCACGAATAGAAGCTACGTTCATCATTGATGACCGGCTAAGACAGATAGCTGTAAGCTTCACTTATTTGGTTTTACTTTAACCATTGACGTAAACGAGTTAAAATAGGATTTTGTGCTGGAAATAACTACAAACAACAACAGAAAATAACAACAAGAGACTGGACACACACTGCGGTTAAGAATAATTTCGATTAAAATACATACTTTGTGTTTGAGGAAAACTCGGTCAGGGAAATCACGTGATTATCGTGACGCAATCATTTTCGAGGAGCTCCGTTTTCCAAAATGTTTTCCGTCCGATACGATAGCGGAACGCCGGCGTTTTCAAATTCCTCCGGTTTGAAGCGCGTTTTTGAAAAACTCTGCTCTCGTGACGGATTAGTGTGGACGGTAGGCCCAACCGTAGAAATAAAGCTGCGTTTTCAAATTCCTCCAGCGCAGTGTGGACGCTGCCTTAATGTCGCAACAATCATGTGTAACGCACGTGCAGAACCGTTGTGGTCATTATGCTACCCACAAAACTTTCAGTTTGGAAAGGCGCTTTTCCATTCCACCCAAATTCTGGAAATATCGGAAAGGGATGGAACGAATGGTTCCCAAAATTTTCTCAAGAAAAACCTTTTTCGAAATGCGAAATTTCCGAAATGCGAGCCATTCAACTCAGAATTCCGGCATCGCTGCAGAATCGGATGGAAGGGAATTTCGTGAAAGAAATTTTCAATTAAACAACTATGACAAACTACCGCAAGAATCTTGCAGGTCGTGATCCGTAAGGACAGACAAAGATTTGTGTTGTCTTCAATCTCAAGTTTATGTGGTGCATTTTTCCCATATCTTAGGTTTCAAGTTTGTCTGTGATTAAATACTGTAAAAGGACAACTAGCAACAATCAAAAATGCTTAAAGATAACGGAGGCCCTTGTTTTGATATACCTGAACCATTCTAGAAGTTGTAGTCACGCTACAAATTGCGTAGTTGCTTGCTTTGGATCCGTAGAACTCGAGCCGCCGGCTCTAACCAATCAAGATACAATGAGGTTCTTTCGACCAATCAGGTGAAGACGGTTATATTACCCAACCTCACGTAACTTTTCTTGCGCAATTTTATTCTTTCACTGACGCACGCAAAAAATAACGTGTTTTTTTACGACTGAAGACAATCCTCTTTTTAGTGAGGCCCCCACTTTTTGAGATAGCCACAAGGAAGCTGGATTATTTATCCAAGGTTTGTTCATTCTTTGAAAGTCATACAGGAGTCTTGTAAAACAAAACGGCGACTAAATTCATCTGCCAAGATTGCCGGGCACCTCTGGTATATTTTGCAAATCTATTGCTCCTTTAAAATACTGGAGATGCGAACATTATGAAGAACATTTTAAGAGACATTTTTCCATCGTCAAAGTTATCTTTACCAACTAGCTAGCCCTGGCTTGTTTGGGAACACTTGTTTTTGAAACCCTTACTTTGTTTTATGGCGCCGGCCGTTGTCTCCCCACCCCCTCCCATTTATTTTTCTATGAATAAATATAGATATTTGTTCTTTTGAATTAGTAATCCGCCTAAATCCCATCCAGGGGGAAGTAGAAATACTCCCAGACGCTTCATGCAACAGAAACCGGGATAAGCTCCGGCCTGATGGGTCACTTGGCCCTTATGGCGTAAATGAACCCTGCGGTTCTCGGCACAGAAATTCAACTTCCTCGGCAAAGATGCCCCCCACGAAGGAGATCTACACGGTAACACCTTATCTGCCAAACCCTTTGCAGTCTCGCCCAAATCGTAGGTATACCATGACTCGGCTCTACTTCATTTGACGGGTTGGTCCATCCTAGAAGTCTGGTTCGATTTGACAGAGAAGTAAGTAAAGATGGGGGAGGCCGGAAGGGGGAACGGGTGGGGTTTCAGACGTGACGAAATAACGCTCTTAGCACGCCATATTCGTATACTCGGTATTGGACTGGAACTAGCTTGCAATGATGGCTCATGCAGGGAAATATCATGAAAAAGAGATTAATTTTATTTGGATATCAAGACTCCCCGCCGCAGGCCGTCAATTCCCATCCACGCCCCACCCCCATGACATACATGAAAAGAAGGGATTAATGGAAAGGAAACAAATTCACCCTCGAACACCTGCTTTGAACTTACTGTGTGCTAAGTATTGTTTAGTGTCATTAAGATAGTCAACTATACAGGGGTATACCTCGTTTAGGGCGCAGGGGGGGGGGNCGAGTAATGGACCTAGGGCCGAGTATCTCATTTTCTTTTCAGTGTCTTTCTCTTGTACGTTGTGTTGTTCAATAATACGGCCCGTGTCGAATAAGTGTTTTTTTTTTCTTTTTTTTTATCCATATATACTTTTTGCAGAGTTCTAATTGATTTGGGAGGTAGAGGGCTAGTTTCACGAAGTAGACGGCTGACACCAAAGGTCAAAATGCCAAGAATATTAAGGGATTATAAAGACTTTATTCAATTTTTATCCTACAGTGCTAGTGTAAACTAATCGGAGACGTAATGGATATACCACACCCTGACCCCTTGCCCCTCCCTAGCTACAGGCCTTGACAGTCCTCAGAAAAAGACAGACCAAAAAACCTGTGTTTTCCCTTAATTACTCTTTAAAACTTACACGCATGTATTACTTCACGAAAAGTCTGAGAACCCTGCTTTTGGATGCTAAATCAAAAGCATATACATGTACAGTCAAACCTCTCCACAACGGCCACCTTGGGGACCAAGGGTGGTCGTTGTAGAGAGGTGGCCGTCATGGGGAGGTAGGGAAGTAATATGACACCACGTTTTTTCCTTGGGATTCAACATTTTTATCTTAAAAACATGTTTAATGTAGCATGTAAATACGCAACACAATCAAAATATATCCATAAAGCAGAAACCAAACAGAAACAGAGACCAGCGACACACAGTATGGATCAATTTTCTTCACCTTTTACAATATCGAATGGCGTTTTGTATGCAACGTTCGTCAGTCATTGATTAACTGGCCGTTGTCAATACCTTATTTTGCCAGTTGAGGCGTGCTTTAGTGACCGTTGTATAGAGGTTAAAACAAGAGTGAAGGTATGTACTGTCCGCCAGCCGGAAGGTATGGACTGTCCGACTGGCTGTTGTAGGGGGTGGCCACTAGTGGAGGTTTGACTGTGGACATAAATCTGCTCAGTGGCTTCAAGATCTAATATTTGAAAAGTTGCAGGGCATGCATGCAAACGCTTGTTGGGAGTGTAAAAGAATTGAAAGAAGACACTTTATATAGCACATCTAAGATGACATTTATTGAATTTTTCTACCACATTTTTCAGTCATAGCTTGGGAACTCAAACGTCACATCTTTGCCTGTGAGCTTCTTGTACACCATGAGGAAAGTGTCCAGCTGAAGAAAAACCAAAATTCAAGCTATTTTAGTTGATTGTTGAATTACGTGTACAGAAGTCCACTAAAACAAGCCTCATAATCATAGAAGGCACAATGATGAAGTTCTTATTAACTGAGAGTGAGGTCTTTACGCAAAATTCTCAAACTGAGACCGAAGTTTGAGATTTTCCCGTAAAGACCGGACGTTCAAGGCTAATAAGTTGTTTATTATGTGGCTTTCTGCATTGCTTTTGCAGGCCTGTAATCGGCCCGTGGGTATTACGGGAGAATGCCCTAGAATTGGCCCATCATGTCTGGTAATTCCCATTTAGCCATATCAGTTGGGGGATATTAAAAAAACTTTGCTGCTTTCAGAAACTTTAATTTGACATAGAAGTACCCTTTTTTATTTCAGCCCCTTGAAATAGCACATGAGCACCAACATCACACTGATGGTCATCAGAGTAATGAAGTGATATATGTTGCTTAATAACGTCAATGATGAAGACATTTGACTGATTCATCAGAGACAAGTTAATCACTATAGTTTCCCAATATGTTGAGTACACACTAATTGAGTACATGCTACTACTTGTACTAAACTGCACTCAAGATCTTTTCCTTCTGCACTACCAAATTCTTGCAATTTAAAAGTCACAAGGAATGTGAAAATACCCAGGAAATTAATTGCAGAGTTTTAAGAGCTGGGAACATTTTCCAACTGACAGCACTGAAAGTAGCACTCACTGGAAAAAGTCATTCCCAAAAGTAGCCACAATCTACAAAGAATAACTTGACTGTGCTTAAATTGTGACCAGTGCAATAAACTAGTTTTCTGGTTGTCTGTTTCAGGGTAAATGGCAAGTGGTGACTATAAAGTTTTAACGTTAAAGTCTGCAGACGAGCCAGTGGCCCACCAGGTCGGAGCTTATCCCAGTTTCTGTAGCATGAAGCGACTAGGAGTATTTCTACTCCCCCCTGGATGGGATGCTAGTCCATCCCAGGGTTACCCCCAGCATTAAGTTCACCAGTACCCATTTATACACCTGGGTAGAGAGAGGTACTGTGAGAGTAAAGTGTCTTGCCCAAGTACACAACACAATGTCCCTGGCCAGAGCTCGAACCCGGACCGCTCGATCCGAAGACGAGCGCACTAACCATGAGGCCACTGTGCCACCTCCCAGTTTTAAAACAAAGTTGATTCTCACCTTGTGATCCACATTTGTCTGCTGTGTTTTGTCAAGGTGACTGAAAAAGATAATGCAGAAATGAAACATACTGGTATCAGTGGACTAAGACAACATCGAGTCTACTTTCCATAAAGAAAATGTTCCAAGATCAGCAAAGCAAGAAAACATTGTATTATAACCAACCTTTTTTTCAAAAGAATGGTTTTTCATTTACAGAAGGCTTTTGATGATAATAACTTTTGAGTTCCCAAGTGTCTGCGATATGGCCCTTTCAACAAGTGCTGGTGCCCAACAAAGGCATGGGTTTCAAAGACAAGCAGTGACAGACAGAACAAAGATTCTAACAAATGCTTCCTTGCTGATGAATGTCCTTTTTAACTTGAGTATGTATGCCTTGAATACTCTCTGTGATTCTGAGTGGAACAATGGAACATTACAACTGTACATACAGCTGGACTTCCCTAATTTAAACCCTTTTATTTCAAATTCCTTATTGTTTTGAGCTCAAAACTATTTTCCTGGGATTTGCTCTTCAGTTATTTACTATCGGTTATTTCACACTCCCACTATCTTGAACTATTGTTCATTTCTTCTGAGAGTTTGAAATGGCTGAATGCAACTGTTCATGTAGTTCTCTAAATCATATCAAACAAAAATAACCAAACAGGCTGACAATGTTTAACTGGATGCCAGGTAACCAACCAGGTTTTATAAACCTTTTAAATAGCACCAAAGCTCTTAGTTTTGTTTATGGAGCCAGCTTTAACTGAGACACAGCTTGAGATACGTAATGGCTTGATAGAATATGTGCCATTTTCTCCCTGGTGTATCTGTAAAACCTTGAGGATGTAATAAAACTATCTTTTTCATAGATGTTGTTTCAGTCTAATTCGTGTTTTGGTGGCGTAAATTTACCGGTACTTTAACTATACTTCAGCAAAGTGTCCAAACTTTTTGTCCGAAATTTGTCTGAAATGAGATAAAGTGTCCGAAAATTAAAAGTCAGAAATAAAACATCCAAAATTTTGACCTCCAAAATTTTTGGCAAGTTAAGTTTTACACTGTGTTTGCCTGAGAAAAATACAATTTCTTTGATATTTCAAGCAACCATAACAGCATACTCACACTATGATTAGCCTTGAACCATCCATCTTCACCCGTGTCCTCTTTCCAACAATTTCACTTGGGAAGACCAGATCCTCAAGGATTGCATCATGGACAGCAGTCAAAGTTCGACTACAAGGAAACAAAGGATCTTAAATCAATAACATGGTTATTTCAATGAGTCAATAGGTGGCTACCTTTGATTTTTTCTTTCCTGTGCAAATCTCATAATAGCAGCACAATTAAATCAAACACGCTCATCTCAGAGAACGTTGTCTCTCATCAGAAGTCAGACTGGGGCGACAACATAAACTCATCACGGATGGGTTCTGACACTCATTATCCAAAAACAAATGCACTCTGACAAAAATGCAAGACAAATTCTCTGTACCTTCTGGGCCTCTTTTGCTTTTGGTTTCGTGACTTTCTTGTTTGTCTGGGAAGGATTCTCCTCTACAAAGAAAACAACAGAAAGTCAGTACTACACCGAATCATTTCTCAAGGCATTGCAGCCTTGTGGTTAGTGTCCTAGAATCCGGATCAAGTGGTCCGGGTTTGTGTCCAAGCCAGGGACATTGTGTTGTGTTCACTTTACTCTCACAATGTCTCTCTCCACCCAGGTGTACAAATGGGTACCGGCAAATTTAGTGTTGGGGGTGATCCTGTGAAGGACTGACATCCCATCCAGGGGGGAGTAGAAATAATCCTAGTTGCTTCATGCTACAGAAACCGGGATAAGCTCTGGCTCGCCAGATGGACCATTTGGCTTGTATGCAGGCTTTACCTTTTTAATTTTTTACACCGATTCATACAATGTGCTGATTCAGACTGACTGCAGGTAAAAACATGAAGATCTCCCTTTCATCTCACAGGAGTCACAGATCAGGCTTTAACTTCTCATAAGGGAAAGTCATAAGAACTCAGGACTTGATCGCTTCATGGTCAGAAAATGTAGGTCATGATTTGAACAACACCACATTTTTTTATGTGAGCAACAGCATAATAGTACTCATTGCCAAAACATTTGTAAAGGAAAATACTGTCACTGTATTACAGATTGCCATATGCAACTGACATCAATGTGAGAGTTATTTTTGATCTTTCAATTCAGACCAGTTCAAGCATCAGTGTTTCTAGAAAGTATATAACTAAGGTATTTGTAACATATGTGTAAAATGTACCGGGGTACTCTTAACGGCCAACAAATGTCTTTTTTTGGCCTACTCAGACTGTACTAAAAGCAATTGAGAAGATTTTCGCATAAAAGACCTCTGATAAAGAAAGGGTTAAAATGCATAAACTCAAAAGTCAGACACAATCAGGGACAATAAAAAGCAAAACTAAAAAATTAACAAATGTGTAGAAAATCACAAACCTGCGCAACAATGACTACATGCTTGCCACTAAACTTCTTCTCAAGTTCACGTACTAGACGGGTCTGACAGAAACAAAAAGAGCACAGAGTAACAAATTGAGATACAGGTCAAAGAGAACAATATTACTGATACAGTTATTTTGTGGGTTACACAAGATCATAGGGAGAATCTCAAGTAACACTGAGCACTGCTTAGATTTAAATTAAATCAAATTTACTCCTTGAATGGCAAGAGGTGAGATGAGGCATCACTAAAATATTTTGAAAACAGAAAATTTCTCATACACAACAAGATATAACGGAACACCTTTAACTTTTCCTTGTAAGGACACTGTACATATATATTTTCTTCCAAATCCCCCAAAGTAGATTGAGTTTGTCTATCTACATGTACATGTAGAATGAAAGCTAGAGGTCACATTAACTGGGGAGCTAGAAATATCAAAATTTCATAGTACTTGCACTTTGCAAACACTTGGTTTGGATGGTTCATCTCAGAAAGATAACATTTGTCACTCAATCATAACATTAAGTCAGACTGGGGCGACAACTACTTTCATCATCGAGTGTCCTTGTGGATAGTGAATAGGGCATATATATTAGGACTCCTATATTACAACCTTTTTTGAAAATGCGATGTAAAAATCTTGAATTTTGAAAACAATTGACTGGACTATACATCATGCAGTTTAGATAAGTCTTGTTCATAAATGCATGTAGCCTTGATTTACCTTTCCTAATTGTTCCCTGAATAGAACTTGATTCACCTCTATCACAATGACATAACAGGGATGTTTAGATTTGACTACGAATTTGAGATCGAGAACGGGTACGATTTTCGAATTTCAAACCAGTGATGTTTCCAGAGCCCTCGCTCTTCACGTTGGTTTTAGGTAGAGAGGGTAGCTCACAGGATGAGATGGGTATGTGATGTGATAATGTGAAGCCTACAAACTAGAATTGAAAAGTTGTTCTCGTACTCAATCTTGTACTCATACTGAAATCTTAAGTCCCCCAATACTAGCATGGTAATCACCACTGCAAGAAAAACAAGTACATCTTCAAAGACCAAAACAGAAATGTTTGGCAATAGAATTCTGCATACCCGCTTTCTCATTTTGAGTAGCTTCTGATTTAATGCTTTACGTACCTGGATCTTTTGAAAGGCTCTGATTTGCGGCACAGGGACAGAGATAACAATGGCCTTCCTGCCGGATACATCTATTTCCTGGAAGGGGATAATTTTGATACTATAATATAGGTAAGTTGTCTTGAATGACAGAAACATAGTTGAAAGGTTTCAGTATAACAGCTTTGCATAGTATGCATTAACCAAAAGACAATATTTAAGCTTAATACCTTGGCTCCAGAGATGTAAAGTTCTCGTAGCTGTGACTTGAGATCGGTAGAGTTCATTTCCAGCTCCAGAAGGGCCTATAACAAGATTCGAATTTTAGTGAAGCTTATGAACATTCTCACACGTGAAGAGAAGTGGAAGACATATTACACACAAACCACCAAATAACACCTCATTCGGCAAGTTCTGAGCGAAAAACTTGACAAAGAAACGCTATCACAATACCTGAGCGATCGTCTGCTCGAATTCATCGGGTGCTTGGCCTTGTGGCTTTATTATTTTTGACTTAAGCATGGCTGATCTAGATTGAAATGACAAAAAGTCGGTTAGGAAAACGAAGAAATTAAGAAAGTTAAGGAGACCATCTTAATACAATCGTGGTTCAATCTTAAAGCCAAGAAGTTGAATAATTATGTGAGACGCGTAAAGTGACCATTTATTCACAAACTACGGATAACGCTGAGCGATCTTTTCCAAAATATATGCCACTCACCGCTTCGTAATGCAGGCAGCCGAAAAGAGACCGACATGCGCGGAAAAGCTGCTGTTCAAGAGTTGGCCGCGCACGACTGCAAAAGAAATCTGCTGATCAGGTTATCGCGTGTTCAAAAGTTGTCAGCGCGGCCGCTAATCTCGTTCCCAGATCTGTTCGTCCACAAGAGATCTGGGAACGAGATTACGCGGCCGCAGGTATTCAATAAGATTCTAAGCATTCTCAAATGGCATTCTCTGATACAAAAGAAGATCTCCTTTACTGATGGAATGACAGGCAACACTGGCAGCATATTTAGGAGAGCTTGCCCTGAGCTCGGGGATGGGCGGGGGGCAGCAGGGATTCCCTTATAAAAAGGACGGGGGTGCTTGTCGCAAATTTTGAACAGAACCCCTAAGAGGTGCCAAGATTCTGATTTCTCGGCGTGGCTTGAATTTTTTTGCCCCTAAGAGCTACCAGTTTTAAAACAAAACATCTCTTATCAAAAACTCTTGCTCTGGACCCCGGGGGCTGGGGGGGGGGGG